GGCCGCTTTCCCAGCAGCGAGGAGCCCTCAACGCCCGCACGCGCCGGCCTGGAGAAGCAGCCGTGGAAAGAGGAGATGAGGCAAGTCAAGACAGCAAGAGGAGGGGCCGCGGGTGCATGCACGCTCCGAGCTGGGGCTTTGACAAGGCCTTTTCTCGAGCTTGGTGTTGTGCGACAATTCTCCCTTTTTAGGGACTTCCAGGAGAGCTGCCAGGTGTAAGGCACAATCCAACAAAACCCTCTTGCGAAGGGAAAGCTGGCTGGTGCCGAGCGCAGACGATGCGCTGAAGACACGCACCCACCAGCTCCTTCCAGAGACCTGCACAAAGCTCCCGATCAGCATGGCTTTTCCGAAGCGCTCGGACCCTCCTCACAGCCGTTTCTGTCTGACCCCTGCGGTCCAAACTGCCAGTTCCTAGTCATGTCCCGACATTTCATTTCTCATGCAATTCCCCAGCTTGAGCGGTTTTGGAACGAAGCAGCCAGGATTCACTCTTCCATGCTCAAAGGACAGTACGAGAGTGGTGATGGCAAACGCAATGTGCCCGCAGCGCTGCCTGGAAGAAATCCTACTCTTGCCCTCTGTTAGCAGTGTTAAGGCTGATCTTTGGAGCAAAGTGACAGAAATACTTGTTAAAAAAGTGTGATTGTCGTTAAAAAAGTGTGATCGGAAATTGCAAGCGCCTCAGTGAAAGGAGAAAGCGCGCAGATTTGTTGTGAAGGTCGGTGACTATCGAATGAGAGAGGAGGTTGGAGCGGAGCACGTCTCTCCAGAATACCTTTCTTGGCGTCCAGGTCAGGTATCCGAAGAGCACGGCCTGGATCCCGGCTCGGTGGCCCTTTCGGCTTTCTTCCTAAGTGACCCGGAGGGATTTCATGCTTATGCTGCCTACGTCTCTTGGACGAGGTCTGGGTAGGGGATTTGTGAGGGAGGGCAAGTTGGGCCAGAAGGCTAAACCCTCTGCAATGATTAAGGTGGCATTTGGTTTCTAAAAAGAAAAATAAAATATGAAAAACAAAGCAGAAATCACACATTATTATGGCACACGTGCGCCAAAGGCAACATCAGCTTCAGCCTCCGGAAATTCACAGTGCAAGAAAGGGGGGCATTAGGGAGAGCTCCTAGGAGGAAACTGCTGTTCTGCAGCAGCCTTCTGGTTTCCTCCGATGGGAGAAGCGCTGACCGCATCCGGCCCTCAGCACCGCGGCTTTCCGATGCCGCCGCCTGAACAAAGCTGAGCC